AACAAGATACACTATTACTTCCAACCCATGCCAGTGGAAGTGTGAAAATTATTATTACTTTGCCGGTTCCTTTGCAGTGCAGGAAAATTGTGTTTTAAGTAAGTGTTTTTATTAAACATTAACATTGTTTAAATACTAACTTTGCAATGACACTGACTCAAAGTCGGGAAAGCACCAAAACATTGCTTAATTGAAATGAGATGGGATATGTCAATAATCAAGCGCTTTACTGAACTGGAGTTGTTTAAAGTAGTGTCTGCTTTGCTTCAAACTATTATTCAGTTTTACAAATATGGGGATAGAAGTTTTTTTACTTCAAAGTTCTTAACTGATTCAGGTGATGATAAAACCTTGACTCTTGTTTTTGAAGTTATTGAGCTTGGCTTCATACCAAAAAGTGTTTTTCTTGTAGTACTGCTATCTGAAAAAACGTGCCTGTTAGACCTCCTCAGCCAGCCTGCTCAAAAAGGAAATTTTATGCCATAGAAGGCTCTTGAACAGCATACCTGGGCTTGATGGGAAGTATAAAGGATGAACATAAGTGCTAAGTGAACTGTGTTTGTTCAGGAAACAAAGTGGGATTATTGTAGGTTTACTGTAGTATTCAAGTCTGATCACTTGTATATGGTTCTGAAACTTAGCATTGTTCTAGGAGATGCTTCTGATAAGCATAATACCACTTTCAGCTCTCGTGATCCCATGCATATGTGCAGCTCTCAAACTGTACTTGTGTTTAGGCACTGGTATGTAATTTGTACATATGCTATTGCAAAATTCATCCTTCAATCCTTTCAGATTATTAAAAGATGATGCAGCTCATTGCTTTGTCCAGCTAATAAATATGTAATCTAGAGTAATATGAACAGGAAGATACTTAAGATATTGAGACGACTGTGCAGACAGCATGGTCGCTGTCAGAGGATTAGTAAAACTTATTCCATTCCAGATGAGTTTGTATTTGACTGCAGAGTTTTGCATGGTTTTCTCTTTTTTTGCTTTGGGGTGGGGTGATTCTTTAAAAAGATGACAAGATGAGTTTCAGGAGAATGCATATGAAAAGAGTGCCTGAGTTTGAATCAGATTGGAAACTGATCTATTCTCATTATTTTATTTTGGATGTTTAGAATGAACATCTAGAATCAAGTGCTTCAATATGTCAGGCTGGGTTTCAAGAGTAACTGTCTTTCCTGTTAAACAAGGTGAAAAGCTGCTGTTTCTGAGAAGAGATGAGCCATTGCTGAAAATCTGAATCAGCTTTTCAATGTTAGAACTAATAGAGTAAAATCAGATGTTTCTGTATTACTGCCCTGATAATTATATATTCCTAGATGCAGTTAAATTCTTGTCTGTGGAAGTAGTAATATTCCTTTCTGGAAAGCTCTCCATTAAACTTAAGCAGCATCAGCAAAACTTAAAACCAAAACACTATTTTTGACTGTTCTTGGATCTTGAAGCTATATTGGTGCATGGTAATAAATACCTTGCAGAGACAGAATATATTTGATATATATTTTTGATTTGTGATCTTGCTTGATTTTTTTGTTGATTCCTAACATCTGGTATCCCGATAGAACAGTTTCGTCTTGGCAGTCTATAAATACTGAAAAAACATCACTTTCCTCCTTAGGCTGAATGTTGGAATTTTAACCAATTGTACTAGATAATTCATATTTTAGAAACATCAAACCGATTCAAGCTAGAATAAGGGGTATAAATACAAATTCATATTTCTGAGATTAGGCAAAGGTGATAATGGTCTGACCACTATTAGGAATATAAATAACGTGTGCTTCTGGTTCTTGGAACCTAACAGAACCTGTAGTACCATTCAGAATAGCCTCTATGATTATCTTGTAAGAAGTTAAGTATTATTATTACTGTATAACAGTCCTAATTTAAATGCTTTATGAAGGACAAATATGACCATGATTCTACAGTTGAGGAATTTGAGGTAGAGAGAAATAAAATTACTTGCATAGAGCTATTCATCTGATATGGTAAACATCCCTATTAACTGGGTTGGGTATGGTTATTGTATTGGCAAGCAGTGTTTGAGCTAAGAAAATAATGTAGAATGGATGTTCTGAATATCTAAACCCATTGGATTTCAGTACTCTGCTCTCTGCAAAATTAGCAGGACATAGTATGAAGAATGTTGGCCCCTTCCATCTTTGTCTAAAGGCAGTGCTATTGAGTTCCTTATAGGGCCTTTATCTCAAAGAATCAAATCAGAATATGAACATGCTTTAGTTAATACATCAGCGCATATGATATTATGTTACCATATAATGAATAATGTTGATAGCCAAGTTATAGCAGCATGATATCCTGTGGACTACAAAACTGACCCAAATGCTTATCTGACTTCTTAAGTAGGATTTGTAGTCCCCTTTGTTCTGCTATGACAGCATTACTCCTGGTGGTACTAGAGAAATTAATATGTGAACATACTCAAAGGCTCGTCCTTCTGAGAATGTTTTCCTATCTCAGACTTGTTTCTAGTGAGGTTACAGGGGTTTTCTTGGCTAGTTCAAGGGTCTCTGGACATTTAAAAATTTATTGAAAAGGACACTGAAAATGGAAGAGTATGTATGAGCAATTTTCTTCCTTTTCCCAATGAAAGAGGGTCTTTTGTTAAATAATCATAACTGTTTTAGACTGCTGGCTGTCTTGTACTTTTACTGCTCTTTGAAGACAGAAGATAAACTATACTGCAATTAAAGAGCCTGCTAGCAGAAAAACCTTGTAGTATTTAAGTTGTGTATATTCTCCTGTGTTATCTTTCTCTGCTTTGCTTTCTGATGTCCTGAACATACCAGCACAATGAATGGACACTGTAAGTATCTGTCTGACTTCTGGAAACTAAATGGATAAAAATTAATTTTCTATTGTAGTACTTATCTTGGTATGCAGAATTAAACAGATATCATTGAGGCTTCCTTTAGAATGCTGGAGGGATACTGCTGATACCATTGTATTATGGTTATGTATTCATATTTCTTAGCATGAGAAAGACCCAAGAATGTGGTTATGAGAATAGAGGGGCGTTAAGTGAGCTTGAAAATCTAATTTCATGCAGTTGGAAGGTGTCTGACTCTGTTAGCTATGTTAGTACTGGGATGAAGGACTTGATTTACTGTTGTGTAAGATGTTTTCTGGGAGAGCTATAAAAGGTACAGCATACCACAGATATGAATCGCAGCCTAGACCTTTTGAGACTGCTTTTGGTATAATAATCCATGCTTACAAGAGAATAGGTGAAGAACCAGGGAGACTTTTGATAATAAATGCTCCAAACTTGCTCTAAAATTTCTTTGGAACTTGGAAGTAAGGACTGTTTGGAGTATAGGTATACTATTTCTGTCCTCAGTGCTGCTGCACTGATTTTAAAAATCGAATGGGGGAACAGCAAAGTATGCCTGTTCTTTTAGGTGTCATTTAAGAGTGTAATATGTGCCACCTCCCTGATAACTTCCATGACACCTTTGGGCTGGAATGTTTGTCAGCATGGTATGCCTGAAGTCCTCTCTAGTGAGAGTGGTCTCCTCCCACACTGGTTTGAATAAGCATTAACTGAGCACAGATGGACTATGTACTTCTGTCCTGAGAAGGCACTCATTTCCCATGCTGTTCTATCACCTCCTCTCCACCCTCAGTATATTCTCAGTCTTCTTATTCTTGAAAGCCCATTTTCTTTAGTCTACTTTTTTAAAAGTCACCATTCCTCTGAGCATTGTTAATCTCACAGTTCTGATTCTGGTTTTGTTGGCTTTTTCTAAATGGGATGATAATGCTCTTTAGGCATCCAGATTAGGTTTGTATAGGGATGGTGCCCCTGTCTTCTATAAGTATTTTCTTGGCTGTTAGTGGAGGACAGTTTTTGCTGCTCTTAGGGCTACATCAATGGTGGCACAGTCCTCCTACAAAGGATTAGTCCAGGTAGTTTTCCCTCTTAGTTTCTTCCAATAAATAACTCAAAAGTTAGAGCAAAAAGCCTGTTGTTTGCACTTTGAACATTTTTTTTACATGTTCCTATTGCTGTAGTCTGTGTGTTAAATCTTATTTTTATCTAGTCTACATTTTCTTTGTTCAGTAGGCCTGTGGCCTGAAATATATCAGCATTTTCTGTGAATTGCCTGTAATTTTTTCTGAAATTACTAGCTTTGTCTTTGCTAATATAGTATGGAGTCACTCGAAGTTGTTTGGGTTTGTTTTGTTGTGGTTTTTTTTTTAACCTAGATTAAATCTCTTACACTTGGCTTGTTTAGAAAACCATTTACTTTATTAAAGCAATGGACCTACTTGGTCTGGCAAGCTTTGTTTAATTTTTACTTCTATAACTTGAGTGCCAGATTTTTTGAAAGGAAAAAACTAATGTAGTTGTAACTCGACTTGTTTGTTTCTTTAAATATATATGGTTCATGATTGTATGTTTGTTGGGTGTGTGATAGAATAAGCCACTCTGGGGTGATGTTGATTAAGTACAGTGCTCTCACAATCCTATTTCTCAAGTCCATTAACATAAAGTAGGTAGGTTTGTCTACAAGATAACTGGTACATGCTTTGAATGTGCTTGGCTTCAAATTTTTTTTTTTTTAAAGAAAGTCTCTTACAGTGTTTGGCTGCTGATTCTGCTTGTGTACCTCTGTGTCCTTTTTTGAGGCTTAATGTGAACTGACTTTCTGTGGCATTAAATTGTGTGCTTCATTATGGGCTATGTAACACCAACTTAAAAATAAAAATCTTTGGGCTTTTAGAAGTTTATAGATACTTTAGAAGTATCTCCACTTTTATTTACTCTCTTACTTTTTATTCACTACTGAGATTTTTGTTTTCTGAAGCATTACGGGGAGGGGGGGGGAAGGAGGGGGGGGGAAGGAAGCAACAGAAGATAGTGCTTCACTTTAAATACTAACCTTTTTGTGCTGAGAATAAATGAAATGATCAGACTGTATGGTGCCATGTAACAGATATTTGGGACTTGTTCTTCATTTCAGTTTTTTTGGGGGCCCCTGTTTTTACTTCATGAGAATTTCAGAAGTGACCTTCTGAAAGACAATCTGTATGGTTTGTGTTTTGCAACAGGAGGTGCTGCTCCATGAAGATCTCAGTAAGAAAGGTACTCAGACTCTGTACAGTATCATTTAAAATGCTTTCTATTGCATTTGATACTATAAAAAAAGAATAGTATAGATACTCTTATGTCCTTTTAGAAGCTGGAAAAACAAGTGGTGCAGCATCAAATGAGCCTTCAATTCTTGGGCAGCATACTGTGCAGACCATGCCTGTAGAAAGGTTTAACCTTATTTTGATTATTTAAGCTATTACAGATTTTTTTTTACAAGAAAACAACTCTGTGCATTGCTTCTCCTGTTAGGAAAAGTGTTCACAGGAAAACTTCTTGCTGTACTTCTTGATAAAGACAAAGATATGCAGGTGGTGTAATCATTGATACCAAGGGGGGGCTGCCTGCGGACTCCTCTATTATGAGCTGGCTAAATTTATCCTGTGGCCAAGGGATCTGCACAGCACAAGCCTGGGCCTGTTAACTAGCCAGAGTGGATCATGAACACCTCAGTGTACCATGGTCTTCCAGTCAGAACTACTACAGTTTTTTATACTCTTCTTTTTAAGAGCCTTATGGAACTCTTTCCAATTTTTTTTTATATGTTAATAGGTTTTGCTATGTTTTTTTAGGAATTGCTAAGCAGACTTGTGATAGCAGAACTAACTTTTAGTGCACAATACCAGTGTGGAGTTTTGGCAGTCGTCTTCTATTTATAATTTACTTTTTAAAGTGGAATATGTGAAATGTACAACCGTTTGAAGAAATAAAAATTCATTAAACAAATTAAAAAATCTGCTTTCTAGAAAGAGTGCTAGAGTTTCCAGTGAGAAAACAAATAAGTTAAATTCTTAGTTAAATATTAGGATGAAACAAAATATGTCTCGAAGTAAATTTACTCTTTGTATTCTTTGTATAACGAATACAAAGCACTCTCTTCTAAACAGGTGCTTGTTTTGATATTTATTGTAATCAGTATTTAAGGTGGTAATATATCTCTTAAGTTTAAGTTAATATGTTAGTAGATAAAAAGAATTAGAGGGGTGAGAACACAAGCTGAAAATAAATCCATGGTCTGGCAAAGCTACTACAGCTTGGATGCAGGTTTACCTTAATGTGTCTTCAAGGAAAGAGAAGACCACAGCACTATGGTATTTGTCTGTATAGTTAAAAGTCCTTCCTCTGTCATACTTCTATCATCACTCAATCTAACCTAATTTATATCTAAAAAGAAAAAGCGTATTTGAGTTTGAAAACAGTGCTGGGACACTAAAGCTATACCAACTATTGCTTACTAGAAATGTTAAGATGTGATTAAGTCTAGATTCTGCTTGATTTGGTAAGGATCTCAGAAAGCACCATGACTATGAATGAAGTGGTATTTGCTTGGAATGTAGACAGCTTGCTTTCAGAGATCAGTCCCATTGATGCAATTATGTGCAAAACAAAGCTGGTCTACCTTTTGTTTTACTTTGGGGTTTTTTTACCATTAGGTTTCTTGCCTGTTTTAACTCTGAAACATTCTTGTTCAGAAATCTAGGTTTGTACCTACTTATCAGTTTTTCTTAATTTTGTTTTGCAGTGTGTTTTGTGTGTGTTCTGATTATTTCACCTACTGTCTATTTAGTCTTAAACTTGGGTTTAAACTGAATATTTATCTTGCTAGTACAGGCCTCTCTAGGAGCATAGGTTGTAACCTATTTTATCTAGAACACAGTCCTTAGCACCTTGAACTTAATTTGAGCAGAGGGCTGGAGAAATTGCCATTTGTATTTAAAATTTCTCTCCAGGCTAGACTAGTATGAAATAAAACGCACATTTAACATACCTTTTTAATACATGTCTTGTAACACAACTTCATTAGAGTTTAACCCTCAGAATAGTTGACTTGATTTCTCCCTCCCATCCATTATTGAGAATTAGGCTGAAGTAACTTCATGCACTTGGGCAGACATTGCTGACGTGATTGTTTATCATGTGGCTCACAGGTACGTAATTTTAACAACCTGTGCAACTAGAATGTTTGAAGATGATCCATCTCCTTAGTGAGTGTTAGACCAGTGACATATTTTACTACCAGAGTTTAATTCTTTACTAGCCTTCTCTGAATAGAGAAAAGGCTTAATACTTGCATATGATGGCTTTTAATGAGCAACTAACTTAATATGGCTCAAGGAAGACAATGGTCTTTCCTGGAGTGCTGCAGGCATAAGTTGGAAATGCATAATGTAAAATACTGAATCTTGCACAGTCAGATTTCAAGAGTAAATCTTGTGTTTGTAAAGCAAATCAAATTGGAGTAAAGCTTATTTTCAATTTAGATTAGTCCGTATTTCTCTTGCATTAAGTATGCCAGGGAAAGGAAGTAATAGAATAAAGATAAGTATTCTGAGTTTAGGTGAATCTGCCTTTAAGATTTTTTTTTTCTCTCCTACTCTAAGGCCTTTTGTGTTGAACCTAGGAATGCTGAAGAATTTGGGTAGTTGAGGAAACTGTTTAAAATACTCTTGCTATGTTATACTCTATTTTTCTCAGCTTGCTGAAGGTATGGTAGTAGTTGCTTAATTTTGCAAGAATTTTTACCAGTTTGTGCTATGCAATTAACTCCAAAGCAATAGCAGAGTAACCCATGTAAAGTAAAAATGCAAGTGCAGACTAACATTAAATTCTAAACTAAAAATACAGATTTTTCTTTTTTTCCCCAAGAAATTATTAGGCTACTGTAGTCTTGTGTAAGCAGCCTTCTCCAGAGAGCAAGGACTCTTAAACAGCATAAGGCTTTGCTATCACTGTTCCACATCTTATGTTCAGTGCTACTGTCTTGAGATCGGGAGTGTTTAAGAAAGGCAAGGCCTCTAGTTAATCCAGGCACTGATGGTTGAGATGGTAGTTATCATCATGGTCTTTGTCTGAAAGGTTGATATGGAAAACTGGTAGCAATATTAGTGTATTCTTGAATATCCTGTGCTTGAGGAATATGCTGTTTTTTGTAACGTGTGGAAATGTTTTCAGGTTTATTTTAAATACAAAAGGATAATCACTTATACATGTTTAATTATCACCTGTGACCTTCTTCAGAAGGAACTGGAAAGAAGCTTTCTCTAATCTTGTTTATATGTTCTGCATTCTGTGGAATAAAGATCCAAAAATACAGTCCTCATCAGACAGATACTACAACTCAATGTGCACACAAATGGTCAAAGTACAGATTCTGAAAGGCCATATATCAAATATAGTACTTGAATTGAGTAGTCTGTTACTTGTCAATAGCAAGCTTAAAGGGAGAGGCGGTCATCTGAATGCTTCTGCTAAGAGTATGTATGACAGCATCATTCTTTATGAAGTCAGATCTGCCCCAGAACTCTTGCAGTACATGGGTTTTTTTGTTTGGGGAACACTTGAAAAAAGAAATGGTAGCATGCCAATGGAAGCAGGAGTTTTAGCCAGGAAAGATGTGTGTTGGGTGATGAGTATGTGTGGGGGTAAAGTTTACTTTTTTCCTTTGGGAATTTTCATGAGGGTTTATTTGCAAGTGGAAGTTTAGGCTATGCATGTGAGACCATAAGCGACTACTAGCAATTCCATAGGAGAGTCTCAAAATTGCCTATTAATGTTTATATTTAACTAAATTTTCCATCCAAAACTTTGGAAGAAAGTGATACACTGAAACTATCTAGAAGCTAAGTTGGTACTGTAGTTTGGGAATCACTTTTGATAGAAAATTGATAACAGATAAATTTACTTAGAATGTCAGCATCTCCTTATCTCAGTTGAGAAGCACATCATGCTTTTGTAATAACAGCATGAGTCTAAGGAGATTGGCTCCTTGATGGCTGTGTTTGAGGGGGAGAGGGGAAAAAGGCAAGATGGAGGGGCCACTGGAATACCTGTCAAGATATGCTTTAGTTGTATAAATCTATTTTCATTAGCTTAGTGTGTCAGAAACATCAGTTGAATACTTAATCGAGAAAAACAGTGTATCATTAAAAATAAAACAAAGCCTTCTTCCAGTATTCATTTTTTTGTAGTTCATTGTCCTCCCCAAAGGATAATGAACTGCAAGCAAGGTACTTACCTTGCTGCAGAGCTGTCCCTAACTAAATGTGCCTAAAATTATGTAAGCATTGACTAGATGACAAAGTAATGCAATGTTAAGTAACCTTTTGGCAGCAGGGAAGAGTGAGGAGGGATGGCTAGTGCTTATAGATAACATTTTTCAAAAGTTAACCTTTTATATTCTGGATATGTTTCTGTTATCAGACTTCTAAGTCTTGAAGTAACTATAATTGTCTAGATATTAGTGATCATTTTTACTTTTTCTGGCCAGTATCCCAATACTGGTCTGGGGTAACTCCTGAAGTCATCGCTTATCCTGGGGCTAAACTTCTGTCTCTCATCTTCTAAGAAAGATTTCAAATTGAATTAGGTCACTTTGAAAAGCTTTTATGGCTTTGATATGGGTTGAAAGCTGTTGGAGATGAGATTCATCAAACCCATTACAGTTCAGTATTATTCCATTTGATTAGTCACTCTTGGCATATAGATAGGATTTAAAAGAAAACTGTCTTTAGCAAATTAGCATTAATAATTCACATTTATATTACACATATATACTGTGTACTTCTCTGATAGGAAGCTTTATTTCATATACATAGAATTGTAATGAATATGCATGCTTCATTGGAAGGTTTCAAAAAGTAGTAATTAACAAGACCAGAGTTAAAGTATTTAAATATTTAATGTTGACACTTGCTTTCTGCTAGAAAGGGCTCTAAAACCACAGCAAGAATGTAGCCTTTTTTCTGGGATATGTGATAAGGACTAACAACTTGCCAGTTCAAGGCAGGGAGGTGACAAAGAAAGCATTTTATAGAAACAGACCTTACGAAATTATGTGGGTCAGTCTTACTGAGATGTCAATCTGTATAAAAACAAACCACTTTTTGTTTGAATATTATGACACTGCTTGAAGAAGGTGTATTGGGCTATGCATATTCCAAAGTATATCAATATGGTTTTAATAGAATTAAGTTCCATTTTCTGATTTACTTTCCATAACTTTTAGAGAAAATACTTTAACAGTGCTAACTGTTTTATTATACTCTGAATTCTGTCCCTTATATTCAATAAGAGCCTTGCTTATTTCCCAAAATAGGTCTCTTGACAGGTGAGTGGTGCTCTTTGTATAAAAGTGTGAAGTATGTATGTGCATTATTAAACTGTTACTTGTAACTTTCTGTAATAAACATTGTTATATAAAACATCTTCTTAAAATGTTAGTGTCTGCCCAAGTCCCTGACAAGGTTTACATGTTTGTCAGGAAAATAATTGTTCCCATCCTTGTGTGAATTAGACCCTTCATGCTATTTTAAACTCTCAGCCAGTTTAGTGATCACTTTGACTTTTCAAATGTTTTCCTTTGTTAAAAATATGCTATTTATACGTTTACTCTGAATCACTCAATGTGTTTATCTCTTAGTGTGTTCTTTACGACTTTAACCGTGGTCCCAAGTCTTTCATTTTTGTAACAGAGTTCAAGTGAGAACTACTGACTGGTTTTAATTCTAGCCTGGAAATTAAAAAAATACTTTTGATTTTTCTGTCTACATTCAAATCAAGCATGTTTAGCTTGAGTTGAGATGTGATCCAGATATTCTTTGCAGAATTAAAGCCTTAGCTGGGATGGGTTTAGTACCTTTTTGTGTTGTTTACACCTACAAATTTATAGTCAGACCTGAAGAATTATAGCAATATAACTAAATTTAAAGGTATTTACAGGTATATTTTTTACAAGTTGAGCTGGAGTGATTGAAGAAATTACTCTTATCTATGGTTAGAGCATCTCAGCTGCAGGACTAGTAACTTTATGTAAATACAAAAATTGCTGAGCTTAAATGACTTTTAGTGCTTGGAAAGCAGACAGTGACATGGGACTTTAGGAAAAGCATCTTTCAGATGGTGGCCAAGTAAATAATTTGGAGGGACATCTTAAATTATTCTAACTAGATCTTGTAGATCTAATTAGATCTTTTGCTCATTGAATGTTGGATCTTTTAAAATACTGCTGTGGAAGGAGTAATGAGTAGCTGTTCAAATACTCGATTATTAGATTCCAAATATTTAATGATCTGAAAACTATTTATTTTTCTCTTCAGGAGTGTATTGTAACCATCCTGTCCTCCTTCAGCTGCTTTCCCTTGAGCGGGCCTGGTAAGTTTCTATGTTCTATTAAAAGTAGCCTTGTCAATCAAGGAGGGGTTAAATTATTTTCAGCCATTCTTCTCCATTCATATGTGAATGTGGATTAAGAATTAGATTCTGCCTTAGTTCAGCTGTTGTTTGTCTTTTTATAACAGCTTGTCAGCTCTGCTTGAAATTGGAAAGTCCATACCAATATATTACAAGTAAGTCAGCAGTGATCCCAGGTGGCCAAGAAGGCCAGTAGCATGAAATAGTGTGGCTGGCAAGACTAGGAAGTGATTGTTCTACTGTACTTGGCACTGGTGAAGCTGCACCTCAAATACTGTGTTCAGTTTTGGGCACCTCACTACAGGAAAGACATTGTGCCAGGGGAGGTTTAGATTGGATATTAGGAAAAATTTCTTCACTGAAAGTATTGTCAAGCATTGGAACAGGCTGCTCAGGGAAGTGGTGGAGTCACCATCCCTGGAGCTATTTAAAAGATGTGTAGATGTGGTGGACTTGGCAGTGCTAGGTTAAGGGTTGGACTCTATCTTAAAGGTCTTTTCCAGTCTAAATGATTCTATGATTAAGAAAAATACAGAACATCCCCATTGCTTCATATCTATACTGCCTAACAAAATTTATAGTAAATTTTCTCTAAAGCTGGTAGCATCTGTGGTATTGCTATTGGCACTGGATAGTTTATTAATTTGTTTAAGGATGTAAAATATGAGCTGCAGTTTTTGAAAAACATGCCTTTCTGCCAAACCTTGGTATATCAAAATTATGACTGAATTCTACTACTTGAAGTATTGCATGTTGCATATTTTTTTCACACAGTTGTTTGGAAAAAAAAATTACTTCCCAGTTGAAATAGGGCTAGCTATAAGTGGTTTCCTGTTTTTTGCGTTGATGTGACTCTGCAAAACTTTGACTTCACAGTCTACATGATCATGTCTGAGTATGTTATCTTCCATTTCATGTAGCTGTAGCAATGAAGAGCTTAATGGATTTTGATGTCTGATATAAGGCAGCAGTTCTAAAGAAAGCTGAAATGTGTGTTCTTTGTTTAGGTGAAGCCATTAAAAATAAAGTATATTTAATATTCTCTCCATCCAGAATGAAGACAAATGTAAAGATGGCATGTCCAAGGAATTTTAAAAGGTGTAGACCTCCTGACTGAGCAGTACTGTGTATTTAATTCTCTTTAATTGGTAAAGTAAGTATGAATCAAACCTATGCTGCTGGGGGTTAATTGTGCTGGTTTTATATATATATAAAATGACAATATTGGACAATAACAAGTTCTGTTAGCTTCACTTTCATTCTGTCATTGTGCTTAATTCTTTTGATAGGAGAAGATGGGGAATTATGCAAGAATATGTAATGCAAAACTGTTCTTGAGAATTTTTTTTGTGCATTCTTTAATTGGGTGGAATGATTTAATCTAGTAGAAAATTCTGAATTACAAGAGCCATCATGTTAATATATCACTCTTTTGTTTGAATTCTTCATAAATGAGAAATCACTTCTGCTAGGAAGTTTAAGACAGTGGTGAAGGACTGCTAGTAATATATCAGACACTTTAACTTACACCTGCTTGTTGCTTCTACTAGAATAGTACCAGAATGTTTGGTCAAAATACTCTTTCTCCTAATCTCTGATGCTAGTTTCACTCTTCATTTAAATTTTTGCATTCCAATTAACTTTCCTTAAAACAATTTAATAACATGACTTCTATAGTTAGGTCCCAGGAGTTCTTGGATCCTTTTGCTATGGTTTGGATGCTAGGCCAAATGTTGCACATATTTAAAACTGAAAACAGTAATAAGCTTCAAGTGTTTAATGGTGAGATAAATTGTCTTTAACAATTTTCTAAGGATGTTTTTCTTTTTTCTTCTACCAGCTGCTGTTCTCTCACAGGTGAAAGTCATGATCACGCTAACAGAACTCAAATACTTAGCAGATGCCCAGTCATCCTACCACATCTTAAAACCATGGTGGGATGTCTTCTGGTATTACCTCACCATGATAATGCTACTAGTTGCCGTGCTTGCTGGGGCCCTCCAGCTTACTCAAACCAGAGTATTGTGTTGTCTTCCTTGCAAGCTAGAATTTGACAATCATTGTGCCGTGCCTTGGGATTTAGTGAAAGCCAACCTTAACATGTCGGCTAGTTCTACAGCACAGATAATCATCCCGCTTAAAATCCAGAATGATCTCCATCGGCAACAGTATTCCTATATTGATGCAGTATGTTATGAGAGACAGCTACACTGGTTTGCCAAATTTTTTCCATACCTAGTGCTTCTGCATACCTTTATTTTTGCAGCTTGCAGTAATTTCTGGCTTTACTATCCCAGCACAAGTTCCAGGCTTGAGCATTTTGTAGCCATTCTTCAGAAGTGTTTTGATTCTCCATGGACAACGCGTGCCCTCTCAGAAACAGTTGCTGAGCAGTCTGTGAGGAAGTTGCCAATAGCCAAATCAAAAGCAGTGATTTCATCACCTGGGAGTTCAGTAGACATAGGGGCCAGCAGACAGTCCCTGCCATATTCTCAACCTGGTTTGGAAACAACTGGAAGAGAAAATTCCTCAAGTGTTCTTGACAAAAAAGAAGGGGAACAAGCTAAAGCTATATTTGAAAAAGTGAAGAAATTCAGAGTACATGTTGAAGAGAAGGATGTCATATATACAGTGTATATGAAACAGATTATAGTGAAAGTCATTGTATTTGTAATAATAATAATTTATGTTCCCTACTATTTATCATTTATTACACTTGAAATTGATTGTGTAGTTAATGTTCAAGCCTTTACAGGCTACAAAAGGTACCAGTGTGTGTATTCGCTAGCAGAAATTTTTAAAGTTTTGGCTTCATTTTATGTTGTTTTAGTGATCTTCTATGGCTTAACTTGTACTTACAGTTTGTGGTGGATGTTAAGAAGTTCACTTAAGCAATACTCTTTTGAGAAGTTGAGAGAGAAAAGTAATTACAGTGATATACCTGATGTAAAGAATGACTTTGCATTTATTCTCCACTTGGCAGATCAGTATGATCCTCTTTATTCTCAGCGATTCTCAATATTCCTGTCTGATTTGAGTGAAAACAAACTGAAACAGATAAATCTTAACAATGAATGGTCAGTGGAAAAACTGAAAAATAAACTAGTAAGAAATTCCCAAGACAAGATTGAACTTCACCTTTTTATGTTAAATGGTCTTCCAGACAGTGTATTTGAACTGACAGAAATAGAAGTCCTAAGCCTGGAACTTATTCCTGAAGCCAAACTTCCTTCAGCTGTGACTCAGCTAGTCAATCTCAAAGAACTCAATGTTTATCATTCATCACTAACTATGGATTATCCAGCAGTCAGCTTTTTAGAAGAAAATCTGAAAACATTGCGCCTGAAATCTAGTGAGATGGGAAGAATTCCATTTTGGGTCTTTCATCTAAAAAACCTACAAGAATTGTGCTTAACAGGATATTTCATGCTAGATCATCACAGCTCCATATACAACGAAAGCTTTCAGGGGCTAAAAAATCTGAGATCAATTCATTTAAAAAACAACCTTTCTCGTATACCTCAAGTGGTTACAGACCTTTTGCCTTCCTTACAACACTTGTCTATCAACAATGAGGGAAATAAACTGATAGTACTAAATAACCTGAAGAAGCTAGTAAACCTGAGAACCTTGGAATTAATCTGTTGTGATTTAGAGCGCATTCCTCATTCTATTTTTACTTTAAACAATTTGCATGAAATTGACTTAAAAGAAAATAATCTCAGAACAGTGGAAGAAATAATTAGTTTTCAACATCTTAAGAACCTTTCTTGTTTAAAATTGTGGCACAACAGTATTTCATATGTCCCAGTGCAGATTGGTGCATTATCAAACCTGGAACAATTGTATCTAAATTATAATAATATTAAAAATGTTCCATTACAGCTATTTCTTTGTAAAAAATTACACTATTTGGATCTTAGCTATAATAAGCTAACCTCCATCCCTGAAGAAATCGGTTATCTGACCAATCTGCAATACTTGGCTTTGACAAAAAACCATGTAAGTAAAACTTTGAATTACTACTTAAATAATCAAATATTGACTTAACCTACCACTTCTTCTGGAACAGCCTCTAGTTCAAAATGCTTTTGTGGTGTTCGTGATTAAAGTAAACCCAGTAAAGGTGGAAAAAGGGGTGGTGCTTGTTTAATTACTAAAATTTCGGTGTCATCAAAGCTTGCGTAATACTGAGTACTATCCTGGTCTGTAGCAGTTTAAGGGCTCTGATCCAGAGACAGTATAGGTTAGGATGGCTGCAGAAATGTATCTTTCCTTTCCTTGCAGCTGTCTAGCCTATGTAGTGTTTTAATGGGAGTGAACACTGTTATATTTTTACCTTAAAATGTCTAACTGAAAGCTGTAGTGAATCAACAGCTAGTTGATGAGCTGTCTACCTGGGTGGAGGGAAATAGTTACAGCTGGTAACCTCATCAGCAGTGCTAAACTGCCTGGCTTATTAGTGTGGAGTCTGTGTTTGTGACATACACCTTCTGAGCTTTATAATTGTTTTCACTGGTGAGGTTGATTTTGGATGTTATATGTCAGTGTGAACAGAAACTCAGTTACTATACTGCACAGATAACTGCTTGTTACAGATTTCATAACACAGGAGCTGCTAATGTCTCTCCGCAATCTGTGTGTCTTCTTCATTAAGTGATTCTTGGAAAATATTAGCCTATTTATCTCCCTTGCCACATGCTCGTGCACAAATCTGTATGCACTTCTGTGCATGAGCGTATGTATATGCTCCCCTTGCCATGCTTATGTCTTGACTTCTGCAAGTAGCCAAGCATCTTCATAAAAAAAACATGTATATAAAACCATTATAGTTTTCTCAAGCACTTCACTGCATAATGATAGAAGCATTACAATCTTCCCTTTCCTTATCCTTCCATAAACTAAGGGGTTTTTTACCCTAAAATAAAACCAGGAAAAGTCAAAACATGCACCTGCATGTAGGCTAACAACTAATGTACAGTATTTTTGTTCTTTTCTTTCCTCTTTCTAGATTGAAATGCTGCCTGATGGATTATTTCAGTGCAAAAAGCTGCAATTTCTTCTTCTGGGAAATAACAGCCTGATGAATTTGTCCCCTTGTGTGGGTCAGCTACTGAATCTTGTTCAGTTAGAGCTCATTGGAAACTATCTTGAATCGCTTCCTGCTGAACTGGAAGAATGTCAGTTCTTAAAGCGGAATAGTCTAATTGTAGAAGAAAGGTTGTTAAAAACACTTCCGTCTCGTGTAAGAGAGCGTTTGCAGACATGTTCAGATAAGTGCTAAGTTTAAAATTAAACTCTGCATCATTGCATTCTACAAGCCTTTTGCTTAATATATGCTTAAAGATCTGTATAGGTGGAGAGAAATGAAGGAGGGATAACAGCTTACAAATCAGTCTTAAATTTAAATGTGCTGAACTGAATTGATTGTATTGGAAAAGAAATACTTCGATTTGAACAAAAAATGCAGTTTTGATGGGTAATCATACATTTGAAAAATCTGAAATATAAATTGTTGGTTGGGTTCCACTTGTCGAAATAATTCAATTAGATGTTTATGGTGGTATTGAAATGGAGGAGTTGATTACCTGGCTATAGTGAGTGTATATACTTTTTTTCCTATGGGAATTTTTTTGTTGATAGTGATAATTTTAAACAGTTTCATCTCCTGCCATATGAGGTTTAAGAACTGTCTGGAATTAGTTTCTAGATATGAATGCTTCACTAACTTAGAATGTGATAAATTAAGAGTTTAAACTATTTGAGCAGTTCAATTGCATGGGGTATACTGAAAGTAATTTTTCAACGTACCTTAATATTTAAAGCTGTTGACAAATACTGAGCATTAATTCTATAATTGTGGAAGATGCCATTTGAATCTTGCTATGAAACAAGTTGGACAGTAATACCTGAAATCAGTTTCAGTATTTTGTCTTTTAAAAAAGCAAATAAAAAATGAATTATTGCCTAGAAATTAGGAGAGATCAGAAGAATCTGGAGTAACTGTTGTGTGCATGTACTAGGCAACGAATCTTACAGTACTGATCTTCATGGATAATGGTGGCAAATGGAATGTGCTATAGTTACAAAGTTGTCGTCTATATGTTGTGAGCATCCTAGGTGTTAGTGTAGTTATGTCGCTGTTTAACATTTTTATAACTTCTCATTATTGACTGCCTCAGTGCTGCTTCTCCACACCCAGTTACTCTATTTTGGTGGCTGGGGAAAGGATGAAGGAGGTTTGTATTAGGTAGGGACAGAAAATCATAGTTAAACAAAATAATCACACAGCTTATAAGAATTTGGGAGGGAAAAACAGGAAGCATTACAAGCTTTGCCTCGTCTAGGGATGTAATAACTTCATAAATTAGTGGTGGATTGAGTTCTTATGCCATCCTTAATACTTGCAAAACTGGATGGAAATAAAATGGTTCCTGACTTCATTCTTCTGCTGTGCGCTGTTTTATTGTATTTGAAGTCTTAACTCTCATGATGTTTATCATGTTCACTAAAAACATGGAAAGAGCATGCTTTCCAAAAACTTATTTGAAAACTTTTATTATTATATTAAAGTTTTCAAAGGCCAATCTCAAATGTGTTAAATAGGTGTGAGGTAAGATGTGCTCTTAATGACTTTGTGTTTGAGTGTGCTAACTATGCGTTAATTATTTGTAATAAAAAATCATAACAGATAAACCAGTTTTATACTATACTACTTTTAGTCATCTCTTGCTCCCATTCTAGTGCCGCTTTTGTGGAGATTAAGGTTTATTTTGAATGAAAACGCCAAAACCATCTGATCAACATGGAAGTAGGAAATGTCTCTGCAGCAGCAGTGCAAGAGGTGCAGGTTTAACCACTGTACTGATGGCATTCCAAAGACCTTTGTAGTTGGAGCACTTTTCTCAGGGAACCAAAATGTGATAAAATTATTACTTTTTATGTAGTTCTATAAATGTTTAGCATAAACTGATTAGTTGTGTTTAGGTGCAGACCAGTGCTGCTGGAACAGTCTTCTGTAGTGTCCACGTATAGCTCTTCCGAACTTTACTTTCAACAAATTTAGTATTTAGTAAAATAGTTCCATAGGAATTGACATGGTTCACAAACAGATCTAGTTTTGGTAGATGTGATTAAATCAGAGTACATTGATTTGGACCCCTGTAGTAAGAGTTTTGTTAATAATTTGCAATAGGTACGTCAGGACTTTAACTTAACATTGAAGAACACTTCATGGCAGAATTTGACACACAAGACTTGCAGTCTAGTAATTTTTAAAAGATTAAGTAAGCATTTTCTTTAAAGATTTTTTCTAAATTGGAAAGCTGTGTTGAAAAAGTTAAATAAGCAAGTAACTGTCTTGGCCAGTAACTTCAACATTTTGACAGTGTGTCCTTGTGCATAATCAGTGAAACTGATGGAGGTGAACCATGATCATAAATATGCGTTTTATACTAGTTCTGTCAGAGTGAAATAACAGAAATAACTTGGAGAAAGGTAATTCATTTCTAAAATGTGTCATCTCAAAGGATTTGAGGAAACACTATGAAGTGCATAAGAATATAAATACTGTTTTATAGGTTAAATGGGTTACATTTTTTTGCAGAGTAATACTTTTTCAGTCTCCACCCCCTCAAGAGGGCTGGATTTTCTTTACTGCATGTTGGAGTTTTTATAAAACACCCAGATAAAAGCCAGAAAGTTTAAAGGTTAGAATCTCTAGCCTTGCTTTCAAACCACAGTGTGCCTTTATTATCCATTTTTTACCATAAACCCCTATTCTAGTGCTTAGAATTGAGCGTGGAGACAAATGTAACTCTGAATTTCTTGAATGCATTTCAGTCTGACCTTAATATTCAATATTTCTTCTAAATGAGGGCATTTTTAGGGAATCAATAAATGAATCCACTGTCATAAACTTTGTACAATAAGCATTGTTGGCATCTAGTCTTTGTATTAACCACTTCCAATCAAAAAAAGGCTTTTCAACTTGTTTCAGTGTTGTATTGTGTTTAAGAACTTTGTATTGTGACCTTCCGTATCGTGAACATTTTTTGAAAAATTAAATTTTTTTTTGCTTTACAATTCGATGAACTGTTCTTTATTTTTCCCTATGGGATGTTGCATTTAATGCAAAGCTGAGAAGTCTTGCTTCCAGCTGTCTATACCAATGTGTTAGCAAGTATATCTTCCACAGGAAAGTGTAAAGATAACAGCAGCTGGAAAAGAACACTGTGCTCCTTATCAAAGCAGTTCTCATGTTCTGGGCTAGGAGACAAGCTCCTGTGTTGATTAGAATGAAGCTTCCATCTTAATTGTTGTTGCAGAACCTTTTCCAAGTCTCTCACTTTAATTTTTGCAAGCTGGGTAAATTTCAAATGCAGCCTGGAATTGCAATGGGAGAGCAAGTAGGTAGTGATTCTCTTCCCAGCTTGGCACATGCAGCTGTCATGCAGCTACACTGCCAAAAATAATGCTGCTTGTAGTAAATCATGAATGCATTTAAAGTATTGCATGTTGTGTTAGCTCAAAGATCTCATTTCTCTTGAAATGTGAGATGATACCTGGTGGCTTTTTGTAGGAACTTGAGTTTGGCTCCTTGCTTTGAAAAGAAGGCGATAAAAAAACCCCCATACATGCTGGTAATGTTATGTATGCAAATGCTAGCTGATTATCTTTCAAAATAGGAGCCTTCCTAGCAAGTTTTACAGAATTAGAGCTCTTCCTTCCCATAAATGAAATGAAATAACTAATAAAAAATGACTTGCAATTTATCTGTTTTGAGATGATAGTGTTAGTAAAATAATTTTTCTTAAAACTCACACAGATACATATATTTTGTTTTCATGTTAATTTATGTAGTTCTAATGACATATTTTTTTAACCAATAGATTTACATGATGCTAAGAAACTTCTTTAGTATGTAGACTTTTCACCTTCAAGAATGTGACCTGAAGTTCACTCTGTAATCACTTCTGATAAGTGACTTGTTCTCTCTTCCATTTCTACCCCAATAAATGCTGGGATTATAGAGAATGCTATAGGAGTGACTGAAGAATTCTACTAGCAAATACATGACTGCAAATCCTGAAAGCAGAAGGCAGTGCATGTCATCCTATGGATTGTTTATATCAAGGATTTTATAGAACTTTGAGTATTTCTGGAGATCAAGAGTTGATAAAGCTCTCACCCTTTATTTGGCCTTGTTAGGTAGGTGAGTCCCTCAGATGTGCAAGCAGGGTAATGCATTTCCCGGAGAGAATGCAGAGACTGCAGTTTATCTGCTGTCATGGTAGAACTGACAACTAATGTAGGCTGTGGCAACAGAGGAGGAATTGTAGTTAATTGATAGGAAGAAACAAGCAGTGATACTACAGTCCTATATGCTTGTGGGATACAGCAGTGTCTCAAGAATTACTGTGTCTGGAGAAGTCACCATCCTGGCATTACATGAAGAGTTTACCTAGTGCTCCATTACTAGGACATGTAGGTGACAGGGCACTAGCAACCCATTCTGAGGCTGGACTGGCATCTGAAAGGGTTTAGGCATTAACTTAGTCTAGAATGTTTACTAAATGAGCTGTTACATCTTGGTCTTATTGCTTCCTTTTGTTCTTCCATTTATGTGAATATTTGTTCTTTCTTTGTCCAACTTCTAATAAGTTACAATTAATTTTTTATTATTTTGTACAAGTGTGCTCTCTGCTTGGCAGGAGCTGGCTACAAGACTTTCAGGTGGTATGGAGATGCACACCATATGCATTTAACACTTGGAGTGGTCAAGAAGAGAGGATGAGAATTGGTCTACCTTCAGAGAGAGGGGAAAGGGATAATTGCTCAAAGTAACAGGGGAGATGTCTGAGACCTCATTATTATGACTTAGCCCAGTGAAGCTATTGGGAAGCATTACTTGCCAGTAGGCAGTTATGACAGCATGGTGCTTAACACAGTGAGGTATTAGTCCGTAGTGCTTGTGGGTATGCTGTTAAACAGTTAAATTTATTATTTGCTATTGCTTTTTTCCTCTTATAAAAATTCTATTAAATCTACTGCTACTATTTATAAAAGTTATGGAACTCTGAATAAAACTTATTTTCTTTCCCCTCACTCATACTTGCATATCTATGTATTACAGAACCAATACTCTTGTCAAAAGACATTGCAAAGCAACTAATGTGAATAGTCTTCATCCTTGCAAACTTTTCAAATACTAATGAGGTATGTAGAAATACCAGTCACTGCAGTCTCACAATGCAATTTGGAAATCTCTTAAGTCAGAGTTAAGGCTTAGTATATGGATAGTAAGGGGAAAAGGAGGAACATAGCTTGCTACTCTTCACTGAAAACAGTTAACCTGCAAGTAGTGAATTGACTGGTTATTTTATATCAGCCTTGCTCAGTAGCAAAACTGCATGCAATTGTGTGTGAAACAGTTTGGGGTTTTTTTTTTTCAAGTGAAGTTGCTCATTATAGCTAAAGGTGTCTATCTCTTACATATCAGCATAGGGGAGGTCCCAATCCTCTGGTCCTTGTGCTTTAGCCCTGTGTTCTGAGTGCACCGTTGTTTTGGCTTTTGATGGACCTTATGCTGAGCTGATTCGGTGAAAAAGCCTGGCAAAACACTCCTTGTACTAGTTTTCTGCTGTTTTAACAAGATGAAATTGTTTTGGTGTAGTGTGGCAAGTGCCAGAGTCAGTAGAAGAACAGGACAGAGATCAGTACCTCCCCTTATGATTGCTTAAGGTTCAACTTTGCATTTGCTTGCAAAGTAGCTATCCTTGGTTGCCTCTTCTTTTTCCATAGTACGCTATTACAACCAAATGGTTTTGACTTCTTTACATGGACTATAATATATAAATATACAGCTACTTATATGCACATATGTAGGTATTGAAACCAAATCTGGTATTAAACAGGTTTAGAACACAGTAATATGCTAAATATGTTTATGCAAAATAAGGTATTAATGAAGTGAAAAGTGTAAGAATAGAAAGATTTTTAAAACTTTCAGGGCTTCATAAATACCATGTCTTGAATTGATCTTATAACAAATATGCTTCGATGCAATGGTTGCCTGAAAAATTAGGAGTAGGAGGGAAACAAATCAGGCTTTCAAGATGTATAACCCATGATAACTGGGTGACTATGTGGGCTCATTAATCCCTGACACTGTCAGCTTTCCTCAGGTTACCTATGTTTTATCTAGGTTAGTGCTCTGGTTATGAGGCAGTGATAGTGGCTTCTGTGCTTCTTTGAGAGTTTTCTGCTACTTAGGGATGATTCAGGTTCTCCAGCAGCAGCTGCTGCACTGTTGTATTTTAGTCTGGGTTGTTAAGGTAACCCAAAGTTGGCATCGCTTTTTTGTGAGGGTAGACAAAAGTTAAGCAACTATGTAAAAGCAACAGAGCTACTCCTGTAGTGGAGATGGAAAACTGGAGAGGAA